TGAGTGACTGTTTCCGACAGGTGGACACCCCCCGCGTGATTGCTGAGCCTCAACACAGCGTTATGCGGAACGTTGGTCGACCTGACGGGGCAGAGCGAATGCCATCTTCAGTGAGCAAGCAGCCCTGTTGGAACTAGGTGTGGGCCTAGTAGAAGAGTGTATAGTAAGTACTGCCTTGCCCACTGTCGCTATCACTCTGAATTATCAGACCTCTGTATTCCAGGTTCCCGTTTCCCTGAAGGACTACAGGATCGGTACCAGAAATGCCGTCTGTGTTCAGCCATCATCGGTGCCACGACATAAGGAAGTGTCGAGTCACTCCAGATCGTGTCAACACCGATCCTTACTCGAGAGGTGTGAGGTTATGCTCCGGATTAACATCTCGGTGGAGACGGTGAAGATGTGGAAGATTACACCAGGCAGGACCTTGCCTTCAATTTTAAAGTGCCCGTCGTGCCGGAATTGCCCAGTAGGACAGTTCTGTAGACGAGACAGCCTCACCATTCCAGATATAATGCATGTGTGTCCATTGGAGTTGTGTCGTCGTACTAATTTGGTTTGTGTTTCTTTTTATAGAACCCCAAACCAAATTCCTTTTGGTGGGGAGGTGTTACGAACCCGGATCCAGCATCCGAGCCGGGAGCAGTGACAACCACGCCATCTGTGGGTCAGCTCCCGAAACCCCCGCCAAACGGACGACGACACCTGGTGAAGACAGCGTGTACTGGCCTCGCGGACCAGTTTCCAGTCTGGTTCAGCGCTCAACACCGCCGCTCCTGACCTCTGGTGAGGTGGTGCTCCGACGACAGCGCCATCTATGGACTGGATACGTCAGGTGTTTGCGCCCGCCACCGTGAGTGTGGTGTATTAGTGTCCCAGTTATTGATGACGTGTCTGTTTACAGAGCCGACCTGGGACCACTGTGTTGAAGGTGGAGTCAGTCTACCCGAGGCAGCCAGTCTCCATACAGTGAAGTTTGCTGCAGCTGTTGTGACGTCGTCCCCCCGGAAGAACACTGTGGTGTGTTAAGCCTGCCAGTGGAGTGGCAGTGACAGGATTTACCCGGGACCGACGGTTGGAGACGATAATCCACTGGGGTATTGAGGACAGGAGGGTGATTGGTGATATCACACGAGACTCCTGTCTAGGGCGTACCCCTTTTATCGTTCGTGGAGTGGCCGTACCAGCCTTGGTGGCTCAGTACCTGCCAGCAGACCTGCTGGACGTGTGGTTGACGGCCTCCACGACGGTGCCCCCAGTGGACCTGTGTTGTGGCTGACCTGTGGCCAGGTAGACTTGGCGTTCTCAGAGGACACGTCTTGAGGCCACGAAGAAAGCACCGCGGACTCAGCACCTAGCTTCGAGGATCCATAGTCTCCCAGCAGAAGACTACAGTGTTGATCCCCTGTGTAAAGTGTTAATACCCCCCCCCCCCCTTGTGTACGTTTTACTTTTATATATTTAAATGGTGAAGGTTATATTATATTATATTAAGTTCACAGTGGCCCAGATGATGATGACGACGATCACAGTGACCCAGATAGCGACGATCACAGTGGCCCAGGTGATGATAATGATCACAGTGACCCAGATGATGATAATGATCACAGTGGCCCAGGTGATGACGATGATCACAGTGACCCAGATGATGATAATGATCACAGTGGCCCAGGTGATGACGATGATCACAGTGACCCAGATGATGATAATGATCACAGTGACCCAGATGATGATAATGATCACAGTGACCCAGGTGATGATGACGACAATCACAGTGGCCCAGGTGATGACGACGACAATCACAGTGACTCAGGTGATGACGACGACGATCACAGTGGCCCAGATAACGACGATCACAGTGGCCCAGATGATAATGACGACAATCACAGTGGACCAGATGATGATGGCGACAATCACAATGGCCCAGATGATAATGACGACAATCACAGTGACCCAGATGATGATGACGACTATCACAGTGGCCCAGGTGATGATAACAATCCCAGTGGCCCAGGTGATGATAACAATCCCAGTGACCCAGGTGATGATAACAATCACAGTGGCTCAGATGATGATGACGACGACAATCGCAGTGGCCCAGATTATAATGACGACAATCACAGTGACCCAGATGATGACGACGACAATCGCAGTGGCCCAGATTATAATGACGACAATCACAGTGACCCAGATGATGATGACGACAATCGCAGTGGCCCAGATGATGATGACAACAATCACAGTGGCCCAGATTATAATGACGACAATCACAGTGACCCAGATGATGATGACGACAAACACAGTGGCCCAGATGATAATCACAGTGGTCCAGATGATGATTACAATGATCACAGTGACCCAGATGATGATGACAACGATCACAGTGGCCCAGATGATGATGACGATCACAATGACCCAGATGATGGTAAGTACAGTGGCTCCATATAATGATGACAACGATCATAGTGGCCCAGGTAATGATAAAGACAATCACAGTGGCCCAGATGATAAGATGATCACAGTGGCCCAAATATGATGATGATCACAGTGGCCCAGATGATATGATGATGATCACAGTGGCCCAGATGATCACAGTGGTCCAGATGATGATGACGACAATCACAGTGGCCCAGATGATGATGAAGACGATCAGTGACCCAGATGATGACGACGACGATCACAGTGGCCCAGGTAATGATGACAACAATCACAGTGACCCAGTTGATGATGATGGCGATTACAGTGGCCCAGATGAACAAAATGATGATAGAGCATGTTGTGGTTAATGTGGTATTACTAAAATATAGCAACGCTGCAGAGAATATAAGTGTTTACGCAGTGAAACATGGTCCAAACGTTTGTGATGCAGTTCACTGAGATCCAGAAGGATCTTGCCTTAGGGAGCAACTGAATGCATCAACTCAAAAACAAAGTTTAGGTATTTTTTTTATATTGATCGCTGATGCAAATCTGGATTAGCAGTCACACACTCCTTCCTAAGAATAACTAATCTATTTAAATTAGTAGCAAAAAATCCCTAACAAAATCAAATTTAGTCCACTCCATCTTGAATGAACAGTACTGTAGTAGGGTATTCACAATTTATTCCAGTTACTAACCTCAATCTAATAACAATTTAAAAACAAGTTTGACAACACTAAATTCTGATGAAAATGATTAAAATTCAATATTTCAAACCAGGTATTATAAGACTGACTAAATAAGAGCGCATCTTCAACATTAGCTCCATTACCCAGGCACAGAGGCTACCCTCCCCCTACCCATTTCTGGGAACAAAACGGTGGTGGCTCCGTACCTTCGCTGAACTTGCCCAGGCACATTTCTCCAATCTTAGGTCTGTACAAAGAGTTGGGGCGGCTCTCGCAGTAGTTGGTTATGGATGTCGTCATGTCTTCCAGTTCATCAAACAGAAATAGAGAGGCCTGAAGCAGAAAGCAACAAAACATACAATACATATTTTGACTTTTGAATCTATTTCTAGAAACAAGTCTAAAATACAGTTTTGTGCAGGAATGTATTAAAAATTTTTTTAACACTAATCCAAAACGTTAAATAACAATATCTAATTTTTCCTTAAATTTCTTACTTACATATAAGTCCTTTTCCTAACAGAGGCTGTCTTGACAAATTCATGTTAGTTCAATAATTGTCACAAGTAGGCAATATAACTTCATATTTAAATGATTCCATGTACAGTATTTTAACGTCAGGGGCTCTTTTTGTTTCAACGGCAATTAAGGAATACTTCCTGGCTACAAAGCTCTTCAGCTTAGTTTTTACACTCCATGACCAGCTCACACAAACATGTATGACACATACATATAAAAGTACACATATACAATAAATAGTCACTACAATGCCACATTTTCCACTTTCATGGAGTGGAAAGGCATCAGTCGAGAGAAAAAATAACATTGAATGTAATGAAATGCCTCCGTTTGGTGGGTCTTCGTGGCTACCCTGCCACCGAAACTTTGTTGCAGCCACCAACTAATGAAAAGTTACCAGGAAGGAATAAACTATAGATATATAGACTTACCTTTGGAATGACAAATATGCTGAGAGCGTCACTAACTTCCATAAGAACAACTTCCACACCTTTGGCTATAGGAAGCACCGTGCTCTTACAGGTATCATACATTGGCACCTTACGCCCGATACCTTTGCTCTCCCTTGTGGGTATAGTAAAACTATCACATTCTGTAATGGAATAATAAACTTTTTACCAGCCTACAAGCATGTTTGCAAGAGATACAAAGCTATTTACTGGTCTTGTCTTAGTATATATTAAAATCAGTCCTATACTTCAAAAGTAAAAAATCAATGTTATTGATGCTTTGCATATCAAATAGTAGATGCCAGTATAATCTATTAAATACACCTGTCATCTAGGGCAGGTGAAGAATTATTTATTTATTTACTTACAGCATTTATTTATTAATTTATGTATATACTGTACAAGAAGATACATTGGGTTTATGAAAGTACATAGCACTGATGTTTTTACATTCTTGCAAAGCCACTAACACACAGCATTATATAACATAGCATAATATGCATTATTTTCACCTTAAATTATCCTCAAAATTACCCTGCTTCGTACTTGGAAAATACACACTAACGTCAACACCATCAATGCTTGTGGTCTTTGTAAAATTAGAATCTAGTAAAATGCTTGAAATTTGTAGAGAAAAGTGATCCCACCTCCAAAGCCAACAACACAAAACCCAGCGTTGAATGTAACATAACGCCAATTTCTGGGCGAGCCCGGGTGACTCCCTGATGCTATAGAACTGAGATGGCTTCCTGCTACTAGGTCACATTAACCATGGAGTTCTACAGGACTTTTGGGGGCCAGAGCCAGAATTTGGCCACCTTTGCCAAGACTCAGGGAGCAGTGACATTTTGCCACCTCGCTGGGTAAGGTATCCAGATAGTCAGCGAGTCAAAATAAACCATTGCCTTGTTCAGAAAGAGACCTTGCAACTAGCCTAATGGACTCCCCCTCCAACTATGTAAACAAATTAACGTAAATTCGTTCGTCCCGACTCCCCCACTCGTTTGTTGGGATGAGAGAAGGGGGCTCACTCGCTCCAAGGATCACAGCCATCAGTTCTGGAGCAGATGCACAAACAAAACCAACCTGACCACTTGGAAGGGGGTGGGCAGGGGGGTATCAGGAGCCACTAGGGATCACCAGAATTAAGCATTTCATAACAATGGACTCTGGTTTTCTAGTGTGAGCTCTTGTTGCTTCCTGATGCTAACTACTCACAGAAAAGGAAGAACACATGGGAACTTATTAAGGAGGAGGGAAAACTACAAGTCAGGACGAAAGAGAGACCCTGACACGAGAGAGGACACTGAACATTCTGGGAACATTCACCACATAACAGGCTGCCAGAACCTTGTTAGACTTTCAAGACCCACACACCTGAATATCAGCTCAGGACATATTACCAAACACAGCCATAAGAGCAGCATACTTCTGAGCATTATGGACATGAGGGTAGACTACAGGCTGGCTAGACTTAATAGCACTGTGGATGACTTTAGAAATACAAGCCTTGGAACAGGGAACCAAGAAAACAGGATCATCCAGTAAAACTGCCACTGAATCAAAATTGGTGACATGAAGGTAGCTGCAAAGAGCCGCCACCAGACACAGCATATAATGCACTCCTGGCTGAACTACTAGCGTCAATAACCAAACGACCCCCTCTGGAAGCCAACTGACATGTTCTTCACCAGAAAAGAAGGAGCTGGCCACAAGTGAACAATATGCCCCCCTTGGTCCAAAAGAACAAAAACCACACCTGTTGAAAGCATAAAAGCTCCCCAATCCAACAACCAAAGGCAAGAGACACCGAAGACAAGGCCTTATATAAGAATCAAAGACTGAAGGCAAAGTAAAACGAGAATACGGTCCAAAGCCCACATAGGGTTAGGTGGCACATGAGCAGACTGAAGGTGAAACATAAAAAGACAGACTGCGAAAGAGCGCTAAAATAGTATTGATGCTTAATGCAAGCTGTAGCAGCTCCACCAGCACCGCACCATATGAAGCAACAGTATTTGGCATGAGACACTGATAAAAAAAATTGCCAAGAAAGAAAGTCGAGCATCATTGAAGAACAATGATGAAGGGAAAGAAAGTGGGGAGAGGAGCACTACAAAACCTCATACTATCGCCAGGAAAAGGGATGCTGGTGGGACACCATCAAAACAGCCACCTGATTGCCATAAAGATGATGATAAAGATGCATCGAAAACTCCAGATATGAAGAGCCGAGAAGTGCAAACCAGCAAAATACATCACTGGGCTGACCTGGTAGAGGCAGAGCCGTAGAAAAAAACCCATTTCGGACACCGAGCAAGCGGCATCTGAAACCAAGACTGAGCCAGCCAATAAGAAGCCCCTAAGACCCCACTGCCCTGGTAAGACTCCAGCCTGGCCAGGACCAAGAGCAACAGTTGGACTGGGGAAAAAGAGGTACAGGAACCCCCATCTTGATCAGTCCAGCCAATAGGCATCTAATGCATGGACCTTGCTATCAGGAAATGGAGCTTAATAAAGAGGAAGGTGCCATCAGCCATCCAAACATCACAAAAACTAAAGGAAAAAAGTGGCACCAACAATCTACTCCATGGAAAAAGGAAGGAACTGGGACAGCACATCCACTAGAACATTGGACACTACCTTAATGTGAACTGAGTGGAGAACCAAACTCCAGGAACTCAGCAAAAGAGCTACTCTAGCATTCAGCTACAAAGAACAAGGACCAAAGCCAGCCCCCTCCCTCCATGCTGCAAACCCTCACAACATACTGTGAGCTTGGCGAAAGGGAGGAGATCAACAATCTTGGCAGCTTGATGAGTGCTGATTACAAAGCCACATCCCAGAGCCGAGGCATCCATGACGATGCCGAACAAGGGAGGAGAAAGGCGCCAGGAAACTGAACTCTGTAGAGGAAGCCAGCGATGCAGCAGCCAGTGAAGGGCTTACAGAGCCTGCACCCAACGATTGCAGCTGTGCCAAAAGGGACTGAACCAGAAATACCAGAAAAGCCACCAAAGCCAGACTTTGCCAAGAGGAAAACTATGCAGGCAAAGTCTAGGAGCCCACACAACCGCTTGAGCAACCATAGAGTTACCTAAGCCGACACGACACCAACAGACCAGCGACACTGCAGCCAGGACAAGGCAGCCGATGGAAGGAAAAATGAACCCGATCGAGTCTCTCACAAGTTACCCAGCCTAGTCTGAACCTGGGAAAGAACCAACTGGGATTTCCATCAGTTCACCATGAACCTGAACCTGGCGAGTTGGGAAAGAACCACATCCCTGGCTAGAAGCCATGCAACCAACTGGGAGCCCCACACTACCCAGTTGTCAAGGTAGACCAGAACTGAACTTGATGCCCCACCACAAAACCTACCCAATCCCTGGCCCTAGAATGTATAGGGTTGTGCCAATATGCATCCTAGAGGTCCAGGAATATCATCAAAACGTATCGGATGCATAACCTATACCACTGTACACGAGCAAAGAGTACCCGTAAGAAAGAAGCCACCCGATATGCCCTAACCTCACTGGGAGGGTCAGAAAGAACAGCCACATGGGAAGAGCAAACCCCACAGAATTCAAGGTCAAAGGTGTCATCGTTCCACATGGCAGTGGCAGAACAAATGATCTTTGTCCTGTGGCACAGACGATGAGCAACCATTGAGCTCTCACAAGATGAGACAAGGTCCAGGGTATACCCATAGGACCATTGATTTTAGGTCCGCAGGACCTAACAGAAAGCCGACACAGCCTGAGTTACACAGCAGTGAAGGCTGATCTCTACATGCTGAAGGAAAGCCCATGAACCACCAGTGTGCCCTGCCAGCCCAAGTCACTCCCAACCCAGGTTAAGACAGAGAACCCACAAGACCCCATCAGTCACCCTAGGCAAGGGCCACCACAAGCACGGTGGATCATTAAAGCATTAAAGGAGTGAACTCCCAAACATGTTATCGCATACGATCATTATCACATACTACTCGATAATGGTCCAGGATGGACCGAAACATTGTCATTGCTCCATCTTCTGGTGTGTGGTTTGGTCATCATATCTTCAGCCACGTTATTGTGACTCATCGTCAGCAAACCCCAAACACTCCAGAAAGTAAACTCCGACAGTGCAAGGGCAGCACTAGCGAGCACATTGGGAAGGTAGCCTTGATCATATGCAACTCCAAGCACTAAGTATGCCTGGCTCATGCTACACTGCATTATACAATACGATGTTTATTCACAAGACTGTGTGTACAAAGAACATAAGAGTAATGTACAATTGTAGGGACAGGGGTTACACAATCTATGGAGCCACTATTACGCAAAGCGTTTAGGGCAAAAACATTGAGTGTTTCTTGTGCAGTGCACGAGAAAAGCCACCAAGGGCAAGGACCCCAAAATCCCATAGCTAAACAGTGAAGCCCACACAGCAGAGGTGACCTGGGAACCACTACAGCAGTCAAGTGACCTCGATCGCATCACTGTATGAACAGCTCACACTCCTGGAAGGGATGAGCCTCTTGTACCCAGATTATTGTGTAAAAAATTAGGTAGAGTTTCTCTCTTTCAATGTACTGACAGTGGTAATAGTTTATGGAGCATGTGAAACTGACCACACACTGCCTCGAATCGATTTGCTACACCTATAACCTCCTTCACAAGCTCCATAAACTACTTCCACTGCCAGTGCATTGAGAGAGACTACTTAATTTTTACACAATAATCTGGGTACAACAAGCCTCCCTTCCTCCCAAATGTGTGAGGGAGGCGAGGCAAACGAGTTTATGCTACTTTTGAGAGATGCGATCATTTGTTTATATAGTTGGGGAAGTTCATAAAGACAGGTTGCAAGGATTCAGTCTCTCAACACAGCAGTAGTTTGTTTTGACTCGCTGACTTTCTGGATGCCTTCCCTGGTGAGGTGGTGAAATGTCACCTCTCCCTGTGCCTCTGTGAGGAGGGGGCCAGGATCTGGCTCTGGTCCCAAGTAGGCCTAAGAACTCCACAGCTGATGTGACTGGTAGATGGAAACCATCTGAGAGTATAGCTTCAGGGAGCCACAATTAAGGGACTCCCCACAGAAAATAAACATTTAGATTAACAAAAATAAATGATAGACATTACAATCATTCCCAGCCAGCATAGGAGCCTTTCCAGAAAAGGCAAATTCAGACCAACAATCAGGGATTCGGAAGTACACTTACAGAGGAGAAGAGAAATAATTAAGCCCGTAATGTGATAATGGGTAGGACAAAGTGCTTGTGCAGGGCTACAAACTCTCTGGACCTGTCATTAACCACCACCAAGGGGTCAAAAGGCATTCAAGAAGCCCTTCTGGCATCCCCATGTCATTGGGGTCTTCCTTCAATGAATTTAGCTGAATTTACCTGAGGGGGCATCATCTTTAGTGGCCTCAATAGAGACTGGAAGCCAGTGGCTTATCAATGGGACCTTCATTATTCTTGAAAATATTTTGCGGCAGAATCTTGAATGCCCCAATGTAGAGCCAATTCGTTTTTGAACCAACAGGAAGAAAGCCATCGCCATCATGAAAAGTCCGCGAATCCCCAAGGACACTGTAAATAAACAAAGGGGATGTGGAAGTAGTAGTTGGCCATGTTGCCTCCATCAGCAACCCAGATGGGTCAAGCACTATATCCCCACAAGCTCTTCACCTGATGGATTTGCAAGGCCCTGGTCAAAGGCCATTATGAGGTCCACACTCATGGAAAAGGCTTAAGAAACTGAATGGCTGATGATGAAACACCAGGAGAGAAAGGAACATACTTAGCATAAGGGTCCATAAGAACCACTAAACTTTCTTCTCACAGAACAGCGGGGGACTCAAACTGCCCCACCACCCAATTCCACAAGAGGCCACCAAAGATGAATGCGTGTACTCTGAGCCACCAACCTCGATGTGGCACAACTAAAACAAAGACGTCCAACAGGGGTAACCATCATATACCCAAGAATTAAAGGCTTCTTGCAGCCAACAGGACACAGCAAGTAACTGTCAGTGGCAAGGAGCACTGACCTATACTTAGTAAAAAAAACACAAAAGCTATAATAAAGTTGTAAGAGGCATTGGTTAAAAGCTAGCATAAATATGCAACTTGATGGTAATAACTAGTGATGCAAATAACTAATGAAACAAACAACTCTCCAACACTAAAGAGAAATATTTCTCAGTTTCATTCAACAAATATTTTTCCTTTTATCAGATATGCTTAAAATAATGAATAAAGGTAGTTTAAGTATGAAACTCAATGCAGCACTTACCATTATTCTGTTGAACAATGGCCTTTGGGTTGGTTAGCTGGATGGCTGATGAAGGTGTATCATTTGAAGCACTGGAAGGGTTACAGAGGTTTTTATTAGCCATACTGTGGATCAAGTCTGTTGCAGGACTCGTGGTTAGCCGAGCTTCCATGGGCAATTTTTCAGGTGTATTCTGCTTTACTGAAGATACTGAATCAGTAGGAATGGACAACTTCTTGGATTCAGGGAAGTTTCGTGGAGAGAAAGGCCCTGTTTTAGGGAATGACTTTTTTTGGTCAAGAGGATTTGTCGAGGACTGGAAATTAGTGATGTTTGAAGAGGAAGAACACTTGTTGGCGGCGTTGATGTCTTCTTGAGGGAGTTTTCTTACCAGAAGAGAAGATGCTGCTGATGAGGTCTCTTGATAAACTGGTGTTCTTTTATGTGATGAGAGCTCATCATTCAACACCACATTGTTCTGGACATCAAAAAGATGAAATTCAAAACAGTCTTTCCTTCGACAATACATGATCAGTTGTGGTGATGATTTAATCAATTCAGATATTTTCCTCTGTGCTTCACTGTCATCTTTTGATACATTATGTAGTTTCACCTTGACACAAACACAAGGAAACTTCATAAAATTGGCAGAAAATTCCCTGACGTTGACCAGAAGAACACTCTCCTCGTAGCCAAAGTCAACTAGGAGCAACGTTACAAGTTCAGCCACAATCTTGACCACCTCACCACGGTACCACTGTCCATCACCAACCACAAAACCACACACTAACTCTCCAACTTCCAAATCAGATGGTGCAGTTCCTGAAAAAAAAAAAAGCATTGAATGTAATGAAATGCCATTTTCTTGGTTAGCCCAGGAGGCTCCCTGGATCTAACGAACTGATATTACCTATATTAAGTCTGGGGCTTCAGTTAGAGTTCTGCCTGCCTACCGGGGACCACGAGCCAGAACCTGGCCCCCTCAGAGGCGCAGGAAGCAATGGCCCAATGAAAACCCTCACTGTGTTTGGGAGTCTTCGATCTGCCATCGACCGGGGTTAGACACTCAGAAAGATAGGCATCCCAAAACAAACTCCACCTGGTAGAAAATTGCAATCCAAGACTGAACAGGGAGCCAGAACTCCCTACAAAAAAAACAAAACAAAAAAATTAAAAAATTAACAAGCAAATGTCATCAGCCTGCCGCCCCCTCCAGGAGGGGAAGCTCCAGACCCCCGTGCCAGCTGCCCACTCTCCAGTTCGGAAACTGAGCATCAAAAACGAAACAGCTGACTGGAGGGAGGGAGGGAGGGTGCCAGGGTGCCTCCAGGGCTTATCCAGAAAATGGCATTTTATAACATTCAGCACTGGTTTTCTGTGGGGAGGCTCATCGCCTCCCTGGAGCTACATATCCAAAGATAGGTAAAAGAGGGACTTAACCAGGCGGTGGCAGCACTGCTTGCTTAAAGTTGGAGATGAGACAACTGCCTGTAACTGACAACCCAAGGCCACACAAGAATGACTCGGACCCAGAATATTCACCAAATAATGAGTGGTCAGGATCCTGGTCGACCTCCTAAACCCCCGTGTCCGAATATCAGAGGGAGGTTGGATCAACCCAAAGGGCATCCCCGGACACAGAAGCCGAAGCTCACAGGTAACAGTGAAGAGCTGCAACTGGACAGAACACATGATGCACCCCCTGCTGAACCAACTAAGCATCAATGACCTACGGACCCCTACAGAAGCCAGCCATCTTGTTCTTTGCCAGAAAGGAGACGACGACACCATATGAGCAAACCGTCCACCAGGACCAAAGGGGCAGAAACCCCTGCGCCAGAGAGCAGCATGAAGCTCACCGGGAAGATGACAATCCTGGAAAGGACAAAACAACCCCAATGAAAACAGAAGACAACCTACAAAGAGAGAGGAAATGGCAAAAGGAATGCCAAGAGACTTCATACTGTCGCCAAGACGAAGACCGCAGGGGAAGGGGGGACACCATTAATGAAGCCACCTGATCACCATACAAGTGGTGATACACCCATGTCAGAAAGACCAGATGCAAAGAGCAGAGGAGTAAATCGAACCAGCCAGGAAAACACTCTGGGGTTTGGACACCGAGCAAGCAGTGACTGAAATCAAGGCTGGGCCAGCTACCAAGGGGCCACAAGGAGGATACTCCCGCAATAAGACTAACTGAGCCAGACCCCGAAGCAACAGCTGGATGAACATCATGGACGAACTGAGTAAGAGGCACAGGTAACCCCACCTTGACCAGTCCTGCTGAAAAGCATCCACTGCGATGGCTCCACAGTCGGGAGCCATGCCACATATATTGGGAGATTCTGGGACAATGCCAATGCAAAGAGATCTACCTTTGGGGGGGGGGGATTTGTCCGGCAGAGTTAACTGAAGAAGTCAGCATTGACCGTCCATTCCGTGGAAACGGGAATGAACAGAGACAGGCCGTCCCAAAAGACGAGGTGTCGGTGAACACATCAAGCAAGGGCTCTGAGAGGCGCCAAGGCACTGAACCTCCCCCCAAAAAAAAACCTTGGAGGAAGCCGGAGATACAGCAACTGACACAAGGCCCATGGGGGATGAACCCAGCAGTTGTGACACACGAGGAAGGGATGGCCCCGAAGGAACCAGAACAGGCACTGAAGCCAGCCCGACCCAGTGGGTAGACCACGGCAAAGTTCAATCTTCCGCACAACTGCTCAAGCAACCGCTGAATGACCTGGGGACCCCCCCCCACCCTCAAGAACAGCTGAAGGTGGGACTGCAACCGCAGCAACACCGCAGGATAAGAGAAAAAGAGAAGCGGTCCGAGTGTCCCAAACGAGGCCCAGCCAAGCCCAAACCTGGGACGGAATCAAATGGGACTTCTTTCAGTTCACCAAGAACCCAAACCTGGCAAGGTGGGAAAGAACCAAACCCCTGGCGAGCAGACAAGCAGACTGGCTGGGAGCCCACACCAACCAGTCGTCGAGGTAGAGCAAAACCTGAACACCTGGCAGATGCAGACGGGCCAATACGACCCGGGACAGACGCGTGAAAATGTGAAGTGCCAGATTCAGCCCAAATGGAAGGCACCGAAAGCAGTAAGCATGCCGCCCCCACCACGAAACCTAACCAGTACATGAACCCAAGATGAATCTGGACGTGCCAATACGTATCCCAGAGGTCCAGCCACACCATCCAACAACCCAGCTCCAAAAGAAGCAATACCTGGGATAGAGTGGTCATCCAAAAGGAGGAGCAAGGAATCCAGTGGTTCAGACGGGACAAGTACTGTACAGAATGAACCAAAGACCTTCACAGTCCCGTTTCGGCACTGGAAATAAGTGGGAAACCTACTTGAGGGACTAGGTCGTTTCGAGCACGCCCAAGTACACCTATTCCAAGATGACCCGGTGGAGTAAAGGGGAAGAGACCTGCTCCACCAGCCCCAAACCTCCAATACAAGAAGCTGGCCAATGCCACCACAGGCCGGAAGATACGACCTGAAATGCCCACGAATCGTGGGAGAAAGTGTGGGTAATGAGAGCCAGCCTCCACCCCAACATCCCGTCAATGGGGTGACCCACAAAAGTGCCAGCGCCCCTTAGGAAGACAGCCAATGAGCTGAGCGAGCACTGCACTGACCAGACAACACCGGCTCCAAAGGAAGCACAGGCTCAGAAGCTGGCACCAAGGACCCACCAGAATCCAGAGCCCTGACACGACCCTTTCAAAAAGTCCGAGAACCCCCACCCCGGAGAACCAACAAATCCTAAAGAAGATGACATCTGAATCCTCAACAACAACAACTGCTTTAAGTTCTGAGCCGACTACATGTAATTTGTATCTGCTGCTATATGCAGCAGATACATTTTTGTATCTGCTGCAAGGAATTTAATGTAAATAAATGCCATGTTATGGAATGTGGAATAGGAAAACAGACCCCCACAACCTATAAATTATGTGAGAAATCTTTAAAGAAGTCTGATAAAGAGATCTAGGCGTGGTTCTAAATAGAAAACTATCACCTGAGGATAACATTAAGAACATTGAGTGAGGGGGCTTTTAAATACATGGATGGCGAAATACTAAAGAAATTATTCACGACTTTTGTTAGATCAAAGCTAGAATATGCAGCAGTTGTATGGTGCCCATATCTTAAGAAGCACATCACCTAACTGGAAAAGGTGCAAAGACATGCCACTAAGTGGCTCCCAGAACAGGAGGATAAGATCTACAAGGAGAGGTTAGAGGCATTAAATATGCCAAAACTAGAAGACAGACAAAAAAAGAAGTGATATGATCACTACATACAAAATAGTTACAGGAATTGATAAAATTAATAGGGGAAGATTTCCTGAGACCTGGAACTTCAAGACCAAGAGGTCATAGATTTAAACTAACTAAACACAGATGCTAAAGAAATATAAGAAAATTCACTTTCACTGAGTGGTAGACAGTTGGAACAAGTTAGGTGAGAAGGTGGTGGAGGCCAAGACCGTTAGTAGTTTCAAAGCTTTAAATGACAGAGTGCTGGGAAGACGGGACACCACGAGCATAGCCCAGCAAACACAAATCATTTGTAGACCATTATAAATGGTGCCACAAAGGTAATTCTGTAACTATTGACATAAATGCGTATTTCTGACGTTATTAAAACAATTAGAGATAACTAAAAACACATATTCTTGGGACACAGTTTTTTTAAAATTATGTAAAAATTTAAAAATAGTGAATGCTATGGACTTATAATGTTTTCATGCTTTATATTTAATAATAAACAATTTTCAGTCAACCTTTTTTTTTTTTTTACTTTATGTAAACCTACCCAATTTACGTTCTTATAACATAAATATAACATTTATATGACGTCAGTATAAAGTTATTTACACGACATCGTTACGTTATTATGATGTTATATTAACGAATAATTTCTGTATGAAAACCAGATTATATTGAACTTTATGTTTTAAACCTCGCAAAATTATCGTAAAGTGTGAGAGAATGAGTATGAGTGTGTGAGAGTGAGTGTAATTACCTAAGTGTAGTTACAGGATGAGAGCTACGCTCGTGGTGTCCCGTCTTCCCAGCACTCTTTATCATATAACGCTTTGAAACTACCGACGGTCTTCGCCTCCACCACCACCTCACCTAACTTGTTCCAACCATCTACCACTCTGTTTGCGAAAGTGAATTTTCTTATATTTCTTCGGCATCTGTGTTAAGCTAGTTTAAATCTATAACCTCTTGTTCTTAAAGTTCCAGGTATCAGGAAATCTTCCCTATCGATTTTATCAATTCCTGTTACTATTTTGTATGTAGTGATCATATCACCTCTTTTTCTTGTCTTCTAGTTTTGGCATATTTAATGCCTCTAACCTCTCCTCGTAGCTCTTGCCCTTCAGTTCTGGGAGCCACTTAGTAGCATGTCTTTACACCTTTTCCAGTTTGTTGATGTGCTTCTTAAGATATGGGCACCACACAACTGCTCCATATTCTAGCTTTCGCCTAACAAAAGTCGTGAACAATTTCTTTAGAATATCGCCATCCATGTATTTAAAAGCAATTCTGAAGTTAGAAAGCGTGGCATAGGCTCCTCGCACAATATTCTTTATGTGGTCCTCAGGTGATAGTTTTCTATCTAGAACCACCCCTAGATCTCTTTCTTTATCAGAATTCTTCAAAGATTTCTCACATAATATATAGGTTGTGTGGGGTCTATGTTCTCCTATTCCACATTCCATAACATGGCATTTATTAACATTAAATTCCATTTGCCAAGTGGTGCTCCATATACTTATTTTGTCCAGGTCATC